AAATTTACTTGTCTTTGTATCCTAAATAAGCTGTGTGAACCTTGGATTTTCTTTTTAGATTCAAATTTACTTGTCTTTGTATCCTAAATGCTTGTTTATCTTGTGTGCACCAAGTATAATATTTTCCTGTATCAGTCCAAGTATTGTATAGTTGAACATATTTAAGATTAACGATCACCTTCGAATTATGTTCCAAGTTCGCTCTAGACACAAGTACACAACCATTTCTATGAAAAATTAAAAAGATTTCATAACTTACAACCAATTTTAAGATTATTCATCAATTTTAATTCATCAAGTATTGTATAGTTGAACATATTTAAGATTATTCATTAATTTTAATTGCTTTCAATTTTTCTTTTTTTCTTGGTGATTAATATATCATTTTGCATTTTACAATTTTAGATGGAGAGACAACGAAATGAGATACGAAAATTACATTTAATGTGGGAACAAAGACGACGTAAAATTGCAATTCTAGTCACTACCATTGCTATGTATTGGTTTATGCGTTGAAAACGTAAAAACTATATAGATAAACCTATTACACAACCAGAAATTGAAAGGCAAATAACACGGGATAAAATAATGAACGAGCTTAGGGTAAGTGTGAAATGTCGTAACATTACTCGTATGGGACCAGAAGCTTTTCAAAATTTTTGTGAGCTGCTTATGAGAGATGGTGGTCTTCGACCGACAAGACATACAAGTGTTGAAGAGCAAGTTGCCAGGTTTCTTCACATTATATCACACAATGTGAGGAATCGGACAATGTCATTTTTCTTTTGTCGCTCTGGTGAAACCATAAGTCGTCATTTTCATAGTGTGTTAAAAGCAATAATATCCTTGGAAGGATAGTTCCTCAAGCAACCTAATGGATCGGACGTCCCCTCAGAAATACTCAATAACGATAGGTTTCATCCATATTTTAAGGTAAACGTGATTATTACTTGTACCCCTCAATACTTCCATTTTTCTTTTCTCACCAACTATTACATTCAAATTTTTATATAATAATTTATCTTAGAATTGCATTGGGGCAATTGATGGAACACACGTTCGTGTGAGAGTACCTAACGAAGATGCACCAAGATATCGTGGCAGGAAGAATTATCCAACAATAAATGTGTTAGCTGCTTGTTCATTTGACATGAAGTTTACCTATGTCTTACCTTGGATGGGAGGGTACCGCTTCAGACTCAAGAGTTATGGCTAGTGCACTAGAAAGAAATGGAGATAAACTAAAACTTCCTGAAGGTAAATTTTGTTAATATTAACTAAAAAATTATTAATATGAAGCCAATATTAATTATTATTGTGCTTAATAGGGAAATATTATCTTGTTGATGCGGGATACCCATTGAAGGCTGGACTTATCACGCCTTATAGAGGTGTGCGCTACCATTTAAAAGAATGGTCCTCACATCGACCGGAGAATCCTCGAGAGTTATTCAACCTTCGACATGCATCACTACGCAATGTTATTGAGAGAATTTTTGGTGTGTTGAAGAAACGATTTCCTATCATAGGAAGCAGTACTGAACCAACATATGATGTTAATACTCAAGTTGATATTATTTTAGCATGTTGCATCATACACAACTATTTAATGGGCATGGATCTTGATGAAAGCCTTATTAATGAAGTAGACCAGGAGCTGTTGAATGAAACTCGAAATGAAGAGGCTGGTCCAGTTGAGAGAAGTGAAGATCATAGTTTGGGGGAATACTTGAGAGATTCAATAACTTCCCATATGTGGCATGACTATGTAGCTAATCAAATGTGATATTTCAATTGTTTATTTGCTTGAAAAAACTTAACATCTTTTTATGTTAGAGTGCTTGTTTTGATTTGAAAATGTAGAATGCTAATAATTTGTTATAAACTCCTACTTTGCATGCATTTATTTTATGTGTTTTTAATTTTAATTTTATTTTTTTGTCTCTTTCTTTGTGTTATACTTGTTATTATGTAGATATAAGAATGAGTAAAGAATCAAACATAAGTGGTGTGTCGAAGAGGGACAGATTGGATTGGAATGCACAAATGGATGATATATTTGTGGATGCATTACATAATCAATATCTCAAGGGAAATATGCATGATGGGACATTCACAACAAGAGCTTATCATGAAATTGTTGAGGAATTGAAACAAAAACTCGGAATTGATATCAACAAAGCTAAAGTGAAGAATCGATTGAAAACAACCAAGACTCGTTTTAACGAGTGTTTTGACTTGTTCAAAAATGGTTTGAGTGGGTTTGCTTGGAGTCAAGAAACAAAAATGTGGAGCGCTGAACCTGAAGTTTGGGCTGATTTGATTGCAGTTGGTTCTCTAATTGTGATTATTATTATTATTATTATTTTACTATTAAGAGATACATAATTTATTTATTTATTTATTTTTTCATTTTGAAATAATGATAATATATTTATTTTTTCTCTTTTATGTTTTGCCAACAGGCAAAACCAGCTACTGAGAAATGGAAGACTGCTACGATTTCTAATTATGATAAGTTGTTGGATTTATTTGGCAAGGATAGGGCAAGGGGGTTTAATGCCCTAATTGCTAAGGAGAGGATGGCTAAATGGTCAGCAAATGATAGGGAGAAGAATAATGAATCAACAACAAGTGCTAGTGAGAGGAGTAATGAATGGGTGCCAACTCATAATGATGATCCTATGGATAGCATTTATGGTATTGATCACTTGGTGTCACGGAATGAAGCAAGTTTAGATAATACGGGTTTTTTGGATACTGAGTTTGAATATATGAATATGATGTCTCCTGAAACACTTTCAAATGTACCTTCCCATTCCACTTCTTCTTCAAAAGGAAAAAGAAAAAGGAAATCCTCGATTGCTGATCAAGACAACCTAATGATTGGAGTAGTGAGCGGTGTTGCTGAATCTCTTAAAGAGGAAAATGAACTTCTTAAAGAGGGAAATGAACTTCAGAAAATATTCAACAATCTTTATGAGAAGTGCAACCAAAAGGGAAAATATGAAGAAGATATCTTTAAGGAGTTGGCAGCAATTGGAATAGAGGAGCATGCAATTGTTGACGCTTTCATTTTTTTGACTACGCATGACCATCCTGATAGAGTGACACAATTTCTTGGTTGTCCATTTAGTCATTGCAAGCAACTCTTGGAGAAATTGATGTCACGTGCTTCTAGACATTGACTATGGTTTTAGTTATATTGTCTTTTGGTGGAACTTTCTACTATTTCTACGTTTAGTTATATTATGTTTAGTTATCGCTATGAAGCTTTTGGGATATTAACTTTGAAACCGTATGTTTGTTTTACTTTTATGAGACATTATAACGCGTTATCTATTTTAGAATGCTTGATATAGGTAATTTTTTTTTTTGTGTGCTTGTTATCTATTATTGAATGCTTGATATGGGTTACTTTATTTTTTTTTCACTACTGATGTCTCTGTTATGTGGTGGAAGCATTTTGTGAGATCCATTCTGGTGGCTATATGGCTGTGTTCCTTCTACTGCTGTGTTGTTTGACGGGAAAAATGATGCTTGATATGGGTTACTTTATTTGTTTGATGGATAGTATCTAGGAGCAGGAGACTTTGTCTTCCACCCTATGCTAAGGGGATGTTTTAGTTGTTATTATCATTTATCTGAGAAATTTTATGCTTTGAATTTAGCAGGGTCAACACTATTTTGTATACATTAGTGACAGATTGCTTTTAAAGTATATGGGACATACAGGAAAGACCAACCGGGGGTTTAGTGCACACATGATCTCAGGACCTCTATGTTGGTTGATACCGACTGAGACATTCCCAGTGGAGACGAGAACAACAAGGGTTGCAATAAACATTGGTGGTCTAAGTGCACAGAAAATAATCTTATAACTACCAGTACAAGAATCATTCAATGAGTATTGAAAAAGAGGTGACATTTCATTAGCTTAACCAATTATATTATTCATATTTCTTACAGATGTGTATAATTCAATAAAGGTTGTCAAAATTGTTCATCAGAGGGAAGACTACTCACGATATAACTGTTCGGTCAAATTTGAACCAACATCTGAGTAGGGAGAAAGAGAACTGTTTGGCTGAACCGGTGAATGTATTATTTGTTATACAAAAACGTGCTCAGTATTTGCCAGAATGTTGACCTATAATCAATCTACCAAAAACAATACCAATAGCATAAATATCTATCCAATTAACTGAAACATAGTCATCCACAAGGTCCCACAATAGTTAAAACGAACCTCTAAAATGGAACATTAAGAAAAATTATATAATTCTTCACACCTCTTTTTCAATACTCATTGAATGACTATTATTGCATGTTGAGTGAATAACTTTGTTGTTCAACTTAGTTAATTAATCTTGGCTTGGTCTGAATTTGGACCAAGCAGAGTTGCTTTATATGGTTTACCTAAATATACTTCAACAAGATTACAGTAACATGCATGATACCCAACATGATTACATGTAATCAGGTATATTATGGCTCTGTCAACTGCATAATTATATAAAATATATATATATATATATATATATATATATATATATATATATCTTAAAATGCTAGAGAGAGAAAGAAAGTGCCACCGACATAATTTAACAAAAGTGGGTCATCATCCTCAACTCCCTGCGTTTATTCCATAATTTAACAACAGTGGGTAGAAACAGAAAACATAAAACAAAAATAAAGTAATTCAAACAAACCTCTTTCAATAATACATACTACTAATGAGAAAAGAAAAAATAAATCAATCAATCAATAATAACAAAAAAGAATGAAAAAATAATATTATTATTATGGAAAGTATGAATTGAATTAGATTGATTTGAGGTTGGATTGAAGTTTGAGATGAGTTTGAATTTATTTAGTGAATTTATTTATTTAAATATAATCCATAAAAAAAACACATTTAATTACATAATATCTATTATTTAATTTTAATGACCTGTAAGAATAGGACAGTGATTTAATCACTATCGTTTCTTTAGTATCCTTTCTTTTCTTTTCTCCCGTTTATCCGAACACACCTGCGAGTCTTCGAAAGACATCGCAAGAAGAGGGAGAGAAGGGAGAGAAAGAAAGAGAGAGAGAATCGAGATGGCTCAGAGCTGTGAGACGACGGTGAGAAACGCAGAGAAATTGGTGGAATCAGCAATGAAAGGTAACGATGCCTCACACGACGCTGCCCACGTTTTCAGGGTTCGAGACCTTGCTGTCTCACTCGCCCGCGAGGAGGGTCTCACTTCTTCTCCAGATTCCATGGAAATTGTATGTCCAATCACACCCCCCTGCTCTCCCTCTCTCTACACACACACGAATATTGATTAAATGTTTGTGTTGATCAATGTGCTTCCCGTCTTTTAAATAACAGTATGAGACCCATTTGAACTACTTGTTAATCTGGCCTCGATTTCAATTTTGCTACCCATTCGATAATTTCCCTGACCTAGGGTTTGTTTGCAAATTTGGAAATACTGCCCTGTGAAGAGAAAAAGTTCTGTATCATTATTATATTAACTTTGCAAATATTTGGATCTTTGAAGCATTTTGGGAGTTAATATTTTTTCTAGATATTTGTCTTAGAACCTGCTTATAGTTCCATTTTAGATGAGATGCATCACAATTTAGTCCTTTTTTTACTGCTCCCATTTTCTATATCATCTCATTGTAAAATATGATAATTTTGTACTTTCAACAGCTTTAGTATTTCATGACTGTGGGCATCACTTATGGAATTATAAAGAACTTGACTTGAAACCATAATTTATTTTTATTGCTCCATTTTCTTAAAATATGTAATAATTTTGTATGTATTAATTCATGATTGTGGGCATTTTGACACTGTTGAGCTTCTCTAACATTTAGACTTGATCTTCTTCATCTTTCACTCTTTCTTGATTTTTTTTTTCTTGCTCTTTTTGACTTGATTCTAGAAGCATTATAGAATTTCCTTCAATTTTTACTTGAATTTGTAAATTTTGTCTTTTTCCTATTTTCCTTTATCTTTTGATAGGTAGGCTTTTTGAAACTTTTATCTTCTATGGTGGCAGGTAGAGCTTGCTGCTCTTCTCCATGATATAGGTAAATTCTCTCCCTTTTGCTATTTTCTTACACAAACTAATTATTCAAAAAGTCTTACTTTTTTTGTTATCACTTTGGAGAGTCTGTATCCGTGCACTTGTGTATTTTAACAGGGAAGATGTCCTATGCCTAGGCACACAAGGATGCACTTAGTAAGCATATTGATAGTTTTTAGTTTTAAGTGTACATGGAACTCTCCTATTAATTTTCTTTCGTTACACTATTACTTCAAAATGGGTGAAGAGTTCATATTGAACTTTTTATGTTACATCAGGCAGCCATTTACCCTTTAAGATAAAAATTATGAGTATATAATTGTGTCACTGTGTTTTTGATAAATTTAACTATTACACATGCCAACGTATATACCTGACAAGAATAAATCACATACTTATCGGAGATCCGCTGAATGTAAAATTTATGAATATTACGGAATGTTTCACATCATAGACAGGTGCTATAACAAATACTTAAATGCTATTCTATATTAGAACAAATTTGTATTGTCTTTCTTTATTATACGTATATGATTCCCAGTATTTCTTTTTCTTGGTTTCATCTTTGATGCTACTGATGACATTGTTAATTGGATGATTAAGTGCAGGAGACTACAAATACATGAGGTTGGTATTTTTTTCTCTTGTTTATTTATCCAGACCACTTTTTCTTTGGGCTTTTCTTTGTGCATATTTGGGTTTCATTGTTTGGTGTAATATATACACACACACATGCATATATTTTTTGCCTTAATGTTTCTCAGCCGTCATTTTATATCTTTGTGTCCATCTTTTCATTTGCTTTGAATGTGAAAGCATGTTTATATAGCCTTTTACATTATTACATCCATGACAAAATTTCCTTATTTTTGGATCACTTTTATGAAACAGTTTTTATGAGGGAGATACTGTTGTTGTACCATGCCAACCTTTTATCCTTAGTGTCAAAATCGATTATTTATGGATTTCCAAGACATTGACACTTGCGTTTGTATTTGTGTGCGTTATATGATGCATGTACCTATAAGCAGACACACACACATACAATGTGACTTACAGCACATGAAAGTGCATACATAGCTGCCTTGATTTCTTGCCCTTTTGGTAGTTGCTCAGCAACATTTATCTCTGTTAAAGTATGTCACTGTTTTAGTATCTTCTTATGCCAAAGTATGATACTGTTTTTAGTGTCTCCTAGCAATATATCCTAATTTTCAAAATATATATCTCTTGCAGTTGTTACAATTTTTTGTTGGTTCCGTTCCAAAACTTTTGGTCGCTTAAATTTTTTTAAGCAGCCCCACCCCTCTTAATCCTCTATTTCCCTTTCTTGATACTTAAGATATTACTTTGGCATGTAGAGATCCATCTGAAGAGAAAATTGTTGAGGAATTTCTTGAGGATGAGGGCATAGAGGAGAGCAAGAGGATGAAGATATTAAGTATCATAAAGGGAATGGGTGAGTTACTCTTACACAGATAATGTGTGTGTGTGTGTGTGTGTGTGTGTGTGTGTTTGTTTTCTGTTGAAATTCTCAATTAACAAGAGAACTACATTCAAATAGTCAGGGAAATCATGTTAATGACCACTTCCCTTATTATTGAGTTGAATGGAAGATATTTTGTGAGTAGTAGGCTGATGAAAAATAGTAGTGATGATTTAATGGGCTCATTGAGCTAATTTTTTTAAAGCAGAGTGGCCTGAATTAGAAAACTCCAGTATTAAGTTATTGATCATGATTCATAACCAATCTCTCAAAGATACATGTAGTAGAGTTGTCTAAATGAAAATTGAAATTAAACACTGAAACTTCATTTTGTAGTAACATTATGGTTCACTTCACTCTACTTCAAAACATGTTCTGACATTTGCAGATCTTAATTGATTATTGTTCATTACTAGTGCTTCCCTTCTCACTTTTGAGTATATTCTATAAATCAGAACTAATTTTCTGGATTTCATATTTATCTAGCTTCTAAATTTTTGCAATTTTTTGTTGGCCTTCCTATCTTGAATCTTTAGGTTTCAAAGAGGAACTTGGAGGGGTTGCAAATGGTAATTATTCCGTAGAATTCGGGGTTGTGCAAGATGCTGATCGTCTTGATGCAATTGGTGCTATTGGTAATTTACACGTTTTATTATTGTTTATTCTTGAGGACCACCTGACCTTGTGTGTTCAACTTTGACATGTCTAGAGCTAAAACTTGGCATTCAGAAAGATTTGGTTTGTGATTGGAAGATGTTTTAACGTTCCGGGGCAATGATATTTCTGACATGCTAGAACTTTTTTTGGATTCCATGGTGTAATCTTGGCTGACTCTGAATGAACATTTCATATGTTTACCTTTATTGTTCCTAGTGCCTTTTTTACTTTCTAGCTCTATTGTTTTTCTATGTCCTTTCCCCTCCTCCTCCTCTCCTTTTTCTGCTGGTTGGAAGTGAATGAGAATACCAAAATGGTTACATATATTATGTGCCTCATGTCTGCCCCCCATCCCAAAACTATTGCCTTGTTTCTGAATGCCAAAAAATGGTAGCCACTTTCACAAGTCAAATGAGTACTAAATTTCCTTCTATACTCTTTAAATTATTGTTATGTAAACTATTGTAATGTAAATTTCAAGTTAAAGACGAAATAATATCCCCGATCATTGACAAATATGCAATTGTAAAATTTAATCAATGGGTGAGAATCTGTCTAGTGCGATTTTCTAGAAGGTTACGTTTTTTCAAAGTGGATTATAATCTTGGGGAGCAGTATAATCAGAATAAGTTCTGTCTTTTCACCTGCCGTTTCCTACATGGGCATCAAGTTTCCTTTGGTTTCAGGAATTGCTCGCTGTTTTACATTTGGTGGAAGTAGGAATAGAGTGCTGCATGATCCTGAAATTAAGCCTCGATCAGATTTGTCTAAAGAACAATACATGAAGAAAGAGGAGCAGACTACCGTAAATCATTTTCACGAGAAGCTTCTGAAGCTGAAGGATTTAATGAAAACAAAGGTTGAAGCAGTTAGTCTAAGATATGCTACTATTGTGCATGCATCTACAGAAACATTTGCGTCTGTGCAGTACTTTCTGTGCAAACCATAGACTAATGCACTAAACATCTATACTTGATACATCCAAGCATTCTGGCATTCCATAAACATTTATTTTTTGTAAATCAGATTCTTGAAATTTTTTTGTTGCGATATATTAAGTCTCAGTGTATTGATGAAAATGTCAGGCTGGGCAGAGCAGGGCCGAGAAAAGGCACAAGTTCATGGAGGAGTTCTTGAAGGAGTTCTATGAAGAGTGGGATGGGAGGGCTTGAACAAGGTATTCTGTAATCTGTTACCCTGAATGATATTAGTATATCCTCCACAACAGAATTGCTCTTAAACTGTCTAAATGTTTAACAATGTTAAACTTGAGCAACTTGGTTTGACTATTGCACTTGAAGATGCAATCAATTGCTCATTTCTGTTTGACTTGAGAAATGTTATGTTTCTATTTATATATATATGTGCTTAAAATAATGGATTTGCTTGCACTCGAGGAATACTAATTTTAGATACCCATCAAGCAATTGTTATCAATAACATTGACTTGCTCGGAGATGGAATTGTGCCTGTAATTTGCCACTATAATAGTAATAGCACCACTATGTTCTGGACATTGTGAATTTCATTGTGTCATGCTAAGTAATCATATAAAAAGAGTGTTTTAATAATGTGATTTGAGCGGTGTAGATCGTTAATAATCAAATCATAAATCATCCAATCCCATTATTCGAACATGTAGTCTCCTAAACATACCTTCAGGCGTCTCCTTTCCTTTCTCCCCTCTCATCACTCACATTTTTTTTCTTCTTATGCAGGACAATACAATACTTACCAATATATTAAACAAAAAGAGAGAGGAAATAATAATAAGAAACCATGATCAATAACACGCCACTTCCTAATTACGATTTTAATATTTGATGTTGAAATACTTGTGAAGCTCCAATTTATCCCTCTTGTATAGTTTCACCTTCAATCCGTACTTCATGTACATGGTCAATGCGAGCTTGGGCACCACAGGATGATCTTCCACCACCTTCACGCGATAACGGTATAGGATGGAGGCAGCAGCAAATTTCATTTGGTAGTATGCGAAGTCTTTTCCTAAGCAGAGGCGAGGACCACCGTTGAAGGCGGTGAACTTGTAGGCCGACTCGCTCACGAACCGCCCATCTCTCAGCCATCTCTCCGGCTTAAAAACTCTGCAGTCCTTTCCCCATATGGCCTCCATTCTTCCCATTGCGTAGATTGCATACACCACTTTTGTTCCTTTCTTCAACACAGTTCCATCCGGAAAAACATCATCTTCAACAACCTAAACATTTATCTTTGATTAGTTTACAAATGGTAGAACAGAGGGATCTAAAAGATGATTTGTTTGGTTAATTGATTTATGTTACTAACTCGATTGACTTAAACAATTCAGCATTGTAAATGTAAATAATTAGACAATACTTTTCAACCAAAATTATTATTTAAAAAAAAAAAAGAAAAAGATATTGATATTCCTTTATATGATATATCTACTTCCTAGTTCCTACCTATAAACCCATTAAAAAAAAATATGTTACTTCCAGATTTTGCCTCCTAGGTGCAATCTGGTTATTTTAGTTCTCAAAGGGTATGAATGTTTAATCGATACATGACTTTGCAAATGACACACACATTCATATATATAGAATATATATATAGGTGTGTATAAGTTATACCTAGACAAAAGAACAACCTAATGGTAATAGAAAATACAAGCGACATAAGGTAGTTTTTTCTATCTTTAATTGGCTAAACTGTCCTGAATTTACTGTGCTGGCATGCTTTGAGTTGATCATAGTTTAAAGCCTTCGATATTTACACTTTGTTTCCAGGATCAGAAAAATGAAAAATGCACAATGCATATCTATTTGTTTTATGATGGAAGTAATTAATTGTTACCTCTTTGTGATCCACTGGCACTGAAGGGTACAATCTCAGAGCCTCTGATAGAGCAGCCTGCAAATACTCCATCCTCTTCACCTCTTCTGGCCTAAATATCGAATTACTTTCACTCTCTCTTTTGTTTGCACCTTCTTCCCTTTCACACAATATTCGATAGATCTCCTCGAGGATTCTCTCCTCGACTGCCGGATTCCTATCAAGCAGCCAGAAAAACCAGCTCAATGCCACTGATGAAGTGTCTCTTCCGGCAAGTATGAAGTTCACGCAAATATCGCGCAAGAACTTGTCTGAAAATGGTTTTCCTTGTTCATCTTTCAATCCCATAAACACAGTTAGTAGATCTGATCTTTGTTTCTTGTCCTGTTCACTTCTTTCTTGCATGGACATCAGTTCTTTCTTCCTTGTTCGGATCACTTCATTTGCGAACTTGTCCACTCCCTTTATCGATGTCTTTAGCATTTTTTCAGTCCCCAAGTCAAGGTACCTCATGACCTTCCATACTAGTGTCGGTGTCACGAAGCGAATAAGGGTTGCTTCAGTGGCATCCTCAAAGGCCCGAGCAAATGGTATCTCCGGTAAGCCAGGACTTAAACAACCAGGGTCGACCCCAAAAGCTATCATGCAAACGTTATCAAACGTTAGTCTTAGGAGGATATCTTGTAGGTCGATGGGGATCGATTGCTGGACTGAATCCTCCAAGACTGGCAAGAGTCGAAAGTGCACAAGCTCGAGCAATGACTCGGTAGTTAAATGGCGGAACTTGGCTGAATGGAACTCTATGCTCGCCGTTTTCCTCTGCCGCTGCCATGTCTCATCGTCTGCACTAAATATGCCGCTACCAAGGAGATCTCCAACTGTGTCTCGGAAATACTCTCCTTTAGGGTAATTTGGAAACTTGGTCTTGAGAAGATACTCCAAGTTGCGAGGATCTGAGGTCACAACACAGTTGAGATTAGTAAACCATAACCCTTTGAACTTAAAAGTCCCATTTTGACGTTGAAGAACGTCAGAAATCCATTCATACATGTTTGATCGAAGGCCGCCAATCAAGGAAGGTAACATTCCGACAAAGGGCCATACCGGTAGGCCTTGACGTTTTTGTTGTCTGAGAGAATGTATGGCCACAAAAACGATGAGGGCGATGAAAAGCTCAAAGATTTGGATCTCCGGCAAGAAGAATACACCCCGGGAAACAAAGTTTCCGGTGTGATCACCGGGAGAGAGAGGGGTAGTCATGTTGGTAATGCTGCTAGGATTAACTTTCATGATGTTGGAATGAAGAGGAATGTGCATGGTATAGTTAGTTGGGGGTGGTAGTCATGTGTTATATGGGGGTGGTGTGGTGCTTGTGTTTCTTGGCGTGCATGAATTTACACAGTGGTTTGATTTGGTGAGCTGAAATGAGGTTAACGTTTTATGTGACTAACTGATTCTGGTACTTTGGTTTTTTTTTTTTTGGGGCCTTATGTTTCTTTTGTGCGAGTAGTTTACTCCATATGGGAATGTGGTTTATTATTGTATTGAGTGCAAATATGAGTTTTTATTTGGTTTGACACTTTTGGAGGATAAGAAGTGGTTGCGACAGATAACCTAAGTGCAGCAATTTTCTGGATTTTTTTGAACCCAAACACGCTTCCTTTCCTAGCAGCATGCCAACATGTTGGTTATACAATACATATATATATATATATATATATATAGATTTGTGTTGTATTTTTTACTTTAACGGATCAATGCATTGATTCTTCATTTTGATGAAAACACGTGCTAACCCTTTTCTGGTGGCTTAGGTGGTTTTTGTGATGTCTTTGTTTTGAATTTTGTTAATAAAACCTAGTCGGGTCAGAATTCTGTTAGTTCACCCATTGAATTACGGATAGGCTGAAAAATAAAATGTTCTAGAATCAAAAATTTCGTCACGTACCTTTCATGGTGAATTAATTTAAAATGTTAAAAATCAAATGAGTCTATACAGTCATTTTTGTACAAATCTGTACATTTTTAATTACTTTCTGTCTCAAGTTATACGTCTTAATTTTATACGTATGAACTATTTTTAAGGTTAAAAATCAAGAGATTAAAATTAAAATTATCAGTCTAAATTACACACACACACACACACACATATATATATTTTTTTTTCCTTTTGAAAAAGAAAGATAATTTAGGAGGAATTATCTTTCTAAAATAGACATTTTTTTTTGAAAAATAAAAAATAAAATGAGAGATACTTAAATAAGAAGTTAAAGCAATTGACCCTCCAGAGAGGCTCCAACCTCTGACCTCTAATTGATATTATAAAGTGTCGTAATAGCATTTGAGAATTGGTGGAGGTTGAAAATATAACCCAAACATTAGATGGGCATCTGTTAGGCAAGGTTGACCTACTTGTACCCCTCTCTTCTTCTTCTTCTTCTTCTTCTTCTTCTTCTTCTTTTTTATTTTTTATTTTTATTTTTTTTATTTAATTATTTATTTTTGGGTTTAGAGATGACTCAAACTAATGTACACAAACTTATGTGAGGCAATAAATATCTCAAAGCAAAAAAGAAAAAATCTATTAATGTTCAAGTCCTTCATTTGTGAATGAAATAATACATATAGGTATTAGGTATGTATCATTGTCAAGCAATAAGACATTCTCCATTTATTATATTTGGTATTTTTAAACTGTAGTATGAGGTAGTTGGCTCCAATTTGTGGTTGGAGAGGCTGGTTTTTGACTCTTCTACACCAATTCATATTCTCTTGTCATCCAAGACAAATAAAATCAGTTAGCCGGTCTTGAGGTGATTGGGACCAAATGTTAACCACCAAGTTCATGATAATACAAGTCCTCCGGCCAAAGACTTCTAACCTAGCTGGTAAGGTGTCTCATGTTAGTTTTTGGAGTGCATGGGTTTGAGTCTTGGCACCAACTAACCCCTAACATTTACCCTTACAAAAAAAAAATATGAGTTCTCCGATCAGAGTCAATGGTAAATGTGGGTTGGTAATTGGTACAAAGACTTACGTCTCACGTTTTAAATGTTGAGAGTTCAAATTCTCTTTGAAATCACTTGTAAAGAATATTTTCGGTAATTGCTGAATGTATGTGGGATAAGAAGATTGCATGTGCATGGTGATGGATTATGAAGTGCTCTAAAGAGGTCGGATATCACCATCGTTGCACTCCAAAGAAAAAAAAAAGGGGCGTTCGAACAAAAGATTGCTATCAGACCTAAAACTCGAGTTATTAAGTGGTACTGTATATCCGTCTTTACAAGTCTAAGTTCCATCCCATTTTTCTCCAAACATGGGAGGAACCAATGTGATACCAAACATGGGAGGAACCACTAGTAAAAAAAAAAAAATTTGTAAAAGTAATGGTACTATGTTGAAATATATATATATATATATATACTACATTAACGGAATGAGAGAGGATGTCCAAAAAATTTTGCCTAGCAGACTTTTCTTGCAAGAAACACCTCAATTCTCTTGCCAAACAAAACCCAGACTTGTAGCCTTATAGAGTCCAAACAACCAAATGAAAGATAAATCTATTACCAAAAAAACCAACTCAAATTTTTGGTTGCGCTGTTTAGGAGTTCAAATTGGCTCCAATTAAGCTAACTAGTGGTTGTGACGTAGCAAAAGTGGAAGAGAAATAAATCTCACATGAATAAAAGACAGCGACAGCTCTAACAACTCAAAAGAGTTACTAAAATGGGTTCGATTCATCTTGCTTCAAGCTCACATTCTTTTATAGTGACTAGGAAGAAGCCCTATCACGTGCTACAATGGCCGGGACAAAGGGTCACGATCTCACGAGGATGAGCTAACTAAAAACCCGTCCTCAGTTCAGATTATGCGGCTATGAAACTTGGGTGTGAGTCTTTTGTCGAAATGGAATGGCCATAACTTTTATTATTTATCGTGAATAATGGAATCACACATAGTACGCCCAGCCCCATCAACATATTTTTTTGTTTTATGCTTTCTGTAACTCTTCCTCAGTTAGGCTTAGGTAGAATAGTTAATCAGACGCGAACCCCTTCTTGGACAGATTCCTCCTTTTACTCCTTGGACGGATTCCCTTATTCTCTATCCTTTAAATGAGGTGGCCGGTTATTAATTTTCTGTAAATCTCCAAATTCTAAGTTTCTTAAGATTAAGACCAGTAGTTCTAGCGGTCGACTCGGACTTTAATTTTCCAAAGTTGGGCGCCAAACTCAATTCTTCAAACTTTTCCACCAACTTCCTTTTTGTCTGCCATGCCACCAATTTTCCTTTCAAATCTCAGCTTCTAGTACTGTTTTTCCTTCACCATTTTCTTTCTCTCAATAGTGTTCCAGACTCGTACTTTTCAATCTATTACACAACACACACATTACCTTTAAACTTGTGAAACACATATATATTTTTTTATATTTGCTATGTGTTCTAAATTTTTTATATTATTATATTTTGATGCTTTCTTTATCAATATATAGTTATAAAACTTGTTAAAATTACAAAAAAACTCACAAGACAAGTGGTCACACATAAGTCAACACGAGTCACATTTTCACGAGTCTAAACAAACCATATATTTAAGAGTCTACAAATTTCAATTAGAACTTAAATTGTTGGGGCTAATTTAAGCGAGTTGAGTCCAAAACTGTTGACGAACACCTGAGCCCAAACTACTTGATATTTGATCGCATCAAATTGATGCCTTCATTTCACTACATTTATTATTACTTGAAATAAAATCAAATTGTTCCTCTCGAATCTAACTTGTAAATGAAGAGATAAAATTGCTTTCTTCATGTAAATGGAGGCTCAAAAAAAAAAAAAAAAAAAAAACTAAAATTATTTGCAATACTAAAATGGTGCAGATGGCAATTTCTTATTGGCCAAGAAGTGGCTAATTAGTTGAAGGGCTTTCCGGTGCTTAAAACTCCTTCATGTCATGCTCCTCTCACCGTGACAAACATCGGCCCATCGTACATTATTGTCCACCCTCCAACCGATTCAAAATTCCAAATTTAATTTAATTTAATTTTTAACATCAATAATTCTAATTTTGATATATTTAAAATAAATCAAAATTAAAACATTACCTGTTTGTGTTTAGTGTACCAAGGCGACCATTCTTCAGTGGTGTTCAATCCAAGCTTGTTCAACGTTAATCTTGTCAACGTCACTGAAATTCTTCCATCTGTATCTCCACTAAAAAACAGTAATGTATTTCCAATTTAACATTAAAATTTGAAATTATTTAATTTAAAATGTTCGACATTTTATCGAGTTATCAAATAAGTAACTTAAGTATGTAAATGAAATTTAAATACCTGTATATGCATACTCAGAGGCCTCCCGCTATAAGCTTTTTGATAATCGGAAGAATGGAGGCTAGGGCATCACCCCAAAATGTGAGATTATAACTACAAACAAAATAAAAGAAATTCATGATTAGGATATATATTGTGACAAGATTTTATTCTTTAAAGAAAATAAATTAAAAGGACTACGAATAATGAAAAGTTGATGTAATATATGTAAATATGCTTATAAGTAATTACCTGCAGTGAGTCCATGGGTAGGGAATATTGGTGACATTTGCATGGAGTGCTTCTTGAACGTCTGGTCTATTCATGTATACCTCAGTGTAGTCTGATGCACATGGGTCATAACCTGTTGGTCTCTTGTACCAACCATTCTGTAAAAAAAACCTATTTAATCCTTGTTCATTAATACTTCAATTAAAATTTTAATCTAATTTACCTTTATATATATATATAAATGTCTATTAAAAGAGAAATCATAATATAATCTGGGGTAATATGGTCCCTACCAATTTCGAGTGGACATGCAACCAAATTAATGTGCCAACTTTATGGTTGCATGTCTACTTATGGTTGGATATAGCCTCGGACTACTTATTATTTTCTTGTTAAGTGTACTTGAAGTATTCTCTCACGGCAACAAACCCCTCCCGTCCCTCCCTCCCTCTATATATATATAGATACGGGCACACATATACATGCATGTATAACATACCCTCTCTCTATATATACACATACGGGCACACATATATATGCATGTATAACATACCCTCTCTCTATATATATCTTGCATAGCGTGCGTCATCTTTATAAGTTACATACCAGAAATTTTCTTCTGTGGGGCCATCTTTAATAACAATAATATATATATACATACATATAATTTGAACCAAAATAATATATGTAAAAATTAAAACATTAATTTATAATATTTCTATTTAGTACATTCACAACGATTTTTCAGATTA